ATACATACATACATACATACATACATACATACATACATACATACATACATACATACATACATACATACAAATACACCATACATATATGTGTTTGCATATAGATATATAAAAATTTTGAGATGGGTGTTTATATATTATGTGTGTATGTGTACATATGTAAACAAACACACACACACACACACACACACGCTCTAGAAGAAACACCCATCTCAAAATTTTACCTCAGAAATTGCACCAAATTAAACTTGGAAAGGCCCATGTTCACTGAGTGTAAAGGAAGAATTCTTTGAAAGGGAGAAAATCAGAAGAAAGATGGCAGCTTACATGAACTTAACATTTTGATCTAATATAGTGGGTCTCAACCTTCCTAATGCTGCGACCCTTTAATACAGTTCCTCATGTTGTGGTGACCCCCAGCCATACAATTATTTTAAGTTTTTTGTATTTTTTTGAAAATATGTGTTTTCCAATGGTCTTAGGCGACCCCTGTGAAAAAGTCATTCGACCCCCAAAGGGGTCGTGATCCACAGGTTGAGAACCATTGATCTAATACATCAAGGAGATGCATTCATCATATTTTTTGGAAAAGAAAGAACTGAAATGCTTCTAAAGAGAGATGCATCGCCTCAGAGGCCTAAGAACTGAGTATTTGAAACAGCCTAAATATTCAAAAAATCTCAAAGGAACAAAAGGACCTAAGGTAAAATAAATATAAAGATGGGGGAGGGGGAGAGTCAGCATTACTCAGGTACCTGCAAAGTCAAGATGGTGACCATGATCATGTGACGGAAACCACCTATTTTTAGTATGTTGTAAACTTACCTGGTCAGTTTTAGACATGGTATTGCAGATCTGCATTTGGTTACTTATACACTTCTAAGCAAATGAAAAACTCCTCTCAAATCTACTGAGATACAAAAAGTTCTGTCTCTTGCACACAGGTGGCCTCAAACATTGTTATCTGATGCTGTTTTAGCATGTCTTTGATATTCTCTCTCCATCTTCTTTTGCGTCCACCTCGTGTTCTTTGGCCTTCTCTTTTTTTATATACCTTGTATGGTATAGAATCCCAAGACTTTCTCGCCAAGTGAACAAACCACTTAACTTGCTTTTTTTATATATAGTTTGATTGGTTCTATTCCAATTCTTTCTCTTATGATCTCATATTTTATTTTATCCCTTCTGGTCACTCTGGCAGCTTTCCTCAGACATCTTATTTCCATGATAACTAACTTTCACTGATGTTCTATTTCAAGTGTCCATGTTTGGCATTGGTAACATAAAGTGGGCATGAACATGCTTGGTATGAGATGCTTCTTTGAATGCTAATTTCTTTATCCATTTTTCCATCTTCAGCCAATATCATTCCTACATATTCTGATACTGTTTTATCCTTGTCCCCTCTATTACTAAGTTTAAGATGTGCTTTTTTTACATAGTAATCAATATAATGGTCATCTGAATTAAATTTTCTCATTCCCATCCACTTTAGTTTACTGATTCCCAAGATAATTAATGTTCGTCCAGCTTAACTTGATTCATAGATTTTACATTCTAGGTTCTTATGCAATATTGTTCTTTATAGCATTGGACTTTCCTTTCAACCACACTCCCCACCTGACACAAGCACAGCTGAATCATATAATGGGAATGAAGGGCTCCCCCATGTCCTGCTTCCTGGGGATTCTGGACATTTTCCTGGAGGCAGTGCTGGAGGTCTAGAGCTCTGCTTTCACTTTGCCTGAGCTGTGCATTCAAGGAACTAGGCAGCAGGGAACAACTGATCTGTTTTTTTCCACTTTCAGGATTCAAAGAACCTGAATGGAAAGCTTTGCGTTCCCATTTTTCTTCCTCAACACAAGCCCATATCTGCCTTCTCATGACTAGACAGTCATGTCAGAACCTCCATCCTGGCAAGATGTTCCCTGCAATCTCACTGCCTTCAGCAATGCTCAAAGGATTATCACAAGTGAGCACAGAGCCCTAGAAAGGTAAGACATTCAGTGAAATATGGTGTGATAAAAATGCTGATGATACTGAACAAACCAGTGACTTTTATTCAATTTGAGCAGCAACGTGGTTGAGCACTGTTTGAGAAAACACTTTCAAGCCAATGTCAACTCTGAAACCTTCAGGACTGGCTTCAATGGCTTTCCAAAAAATATTTATTTTATTTATTTACAGTATTTGTCACATCTCATTTTCCAATGTGGCTAAAATGAGAGATAATAATTAAGCCCTGATCAAAAATTAATCCCAACAAGTTTCTGTAACTATTTAAATGTTATTTTAAAATGTAGATTTTGTTCTGGCTCTGATCATAGTACAGAAAGGCAGAAATGGCCCTGCTGGCTGCTCAAAAAAAAAGGTATTTTGCACATGAATATAAGACATCGGAATTCTATAAATTCTTCCTGAAGCAAATTTCCACACTCCAAACATATATTTGGTTTCTCTCCAGATGGATTCTTGGGACAAAAAATAAAAAAGGAATCGTTGACTAAAATTGTTCCCTACTATCTGTTCATTGTAGTTACCTCAGTTCCACTCTCTGATTCTAATTTCTTTTTGATTTTTGTTCCACACAAAAATAACTACAAAAGGCAGTTCTCTTCTTGTTCTTCTGTGATTGTATCAGATCAGTAGCCACATCTGGGCCATATCTTCAGACATGAAGAACTTCTGCCAATGTTCTTTGAAAGGTATCCCTTATTTGCATTTTCTTTATTTTGATTCCCCATGATTTCCAAATCTCTCTTCTCTCATTTCATGTTTCATTATTCGTGATGTCAACATGCTTGACTTCCTTTTGTTCTCATTCTCCTGCATGTCTTTTACTTGGAACAAAAAGAAAAAAACTCATTAGAAGTGTAAGACATAAACTACAAAGATACAATATATGAGATTAATTGTATGATCACCCCATTTCAATGAATTGAAATAGCACACAATTTCAAATTTATCCAAAGATGAATAAGATGGTGGTTATACTGGTTTTTGGAGCAAAGCTGGACTTTCCAAGCATTTTCAATTCCAAATTTCTGAAAAAAAGGATTTTCTCTTATTGATGTGCCACATAGCTGGAACTGTAAAATGACAAAACTTTTAAAGACAGGGCACCCATAACTGTGTGACACAAGCTCTGCCTTTTTTATGTGCATTGCATGTGCAACTTACAAAAAAAAAACCAAGCAGTTTTTTGACCATACTTTTTGGACACCCACAGAATTTTCAATCAGGATTTCACAGTGAAAAAAGTACCTTTTCGGGAATATACATTATATACTCAGGAGCCAAATAAATATACATACACACATACACATACATACATACATACATACATACCGTACATACCGTACATACATACATACATACATACATACATACATACATACATACATACATACATACATACATACATTCTTATCTAAAAATACACATTCATACCTAAATGGATCCTCATATGGGATGTAAGATTACTGCTCGTTGTGAAGCTCTTTCCACACTCCATGCATTTATATGGCCTCTCCCCTGTGTGGATTCTTTTATGAGAGGTAAATGAACCATTTTCACGGAACCTCTTTCCACATTCCAAGCATTTATACGGCTTCTCCCCAGTGTGGATTCTTTTATGAATAGTAAGAGAAGTGTTTTCACGGAAACTTTTTCCACACTCAAGGCATTTATGTGGCTTTTCTCCTGTGTGGATTGTTTTATGGGAAGCAAAATGACTGCCCCGGCTGAAGCTCTTTCCACATACTATGCATGTATATGGTTTCTCTCCAGTGTGGATCCTTTCATGAAGAGTAAGGGACCCATTATTACGGAAGCTCTTTCCACATCTCCTGCACTTATATGGTTTCTCTCCTGTGTGGATCCTTTTATGAGAGGTAAGCTGAATCTTTTGAGTAAAGCTCTTTCCACACTCTTTACATTCATATGGTTTTTCCCCTGTGTGAATCCTTACATGAGAAGTCAGTTGAATATTTTGAGTAAAACTCTTTCCACACTGTATACATTTGTATGGTTTCTCCCCAGTGTGGATTCTTTTGTGACAAGCAAGGTTGCTGGTTGTATTGAAGTTTTTGCCACACTCTGTGCATTTGTATGGCTTCTCCCCTGTATGGATCATTTTATGTGAAGTAAGTTGAATGTTCTGTGTAAAGCTTTTTCCACACTCCAAGCACTTATATGGTTTTTCCCCTGTGTGGATCCTTTTATGGTAGGTAAGTGAACTGCTCATGCTGAAGCTCTTTCCACATTCCATGCAGTTATATGGTTTCTCCCCTGTGTGGATCCTCTTATGGAAAGTAAGGGAACTGCTCTCACTGAAGGTCTTCCCACACTCCATACATTTATATGGTCTTTCTCCTGTGTGGATCCTTTGATGGGAAGTAAGTTGAGTGCTCCACCTGAAGGTTTTCCCACACTCCATGCATGTATATGGCTTTTCCCCTGTATGGATTCTCTGATGTGAAGTCAATTGAATATTTTGGGTAAAGCTCTTTCCACACTCTTCACACTTATATGGTTTCTCCCCTGTGTGAATCATTTTATGGGAATTAAGATTAACCTTCTGAGTAAAGCTCTTTCCACACTCGTCACATTTATAAGGTTTCTCCTCTGTGTGGATTTTTTTATGGGAATTGAGATTACCACGCTGGCTGAAACTCTTTCCACATTCCATGCATTTATATGGTTTTCCCCCCGAGACAGTCCTTTCACTGGGAACAAGAGAACTGCTCCCACTTAAATGCTTTTCATTCTCTGTACTTTTATATCCTTTATTTCTCATTTTGGCTTCTCCACATAAAGAAATGTTAGAAGTCCAATTGTAGCTTTTTTCAACCTCTTGGCCTAGATCTTCTTCTTTAATGTGAATTGTGTAATGTTCATATAGATCTAAGTTTTCAAATGGTTCCACATTCTCCACTTTTAGATTTTCTTTCTGATCTCCTTTGAGAAGAAAGTCTTGAATTTCAATGGTTGGGCTCCTTTTACTCCCATTGTTTGACAGATTTCTTTCATTTTCTGTTGTTTTCATTGGGTATGAAAACGCCTTTCTTCTCTCTTCATCTCTGAACATTTGGACAGCTTCCTTGTTCTCTTGAAGATTATTTCCTTAAGAGAAAAAGAATGAACTACAATTGAGGTAAGGTAGAGGAAGCAAACTAATAATTCATAGCATAGGAGGCAAGTATAAATTTCCTAGTGAAAATCTGCCAAGGATTCTCTGCTGTTTTATAAGGTGTTCTGCTGACCAACATTAAATACTCTGATCAAAGCCTTTAAAAAGTTGGACTTTGAGTGACAGGTTATTATAACACTAATATGAAGAAAACTGCACAATATAATAATACAACAGTTCTATTTTATGAGTTTCTTAAACTGTCACAAAATCCACCTATTTAAATAAAGGAGCACTTTAATTAATTTCACTTATGGAATTCTACTAACAGCTAGAATTCAGTTTAAGAAAGTGAGGAATCAGGGACAAGAAGCTTGTAATATTTATTGCAGAAGTGGAGAATAGGAGCAAGGAGTTGTGCTAACTACATCTAATTTTTTTGCTTATCTTGAAATACTTGCTGTTAACTGGGGAAAGAACATGTATATAGTGAAAAGAGGGAAGAATTTGGGATACAGAAAGTCAACATAATAACATTTACATCTAGTGCCATTAAATGAAATTTTTAATGGTAAGATGACAGTACCCCTCCTTTTCCTAGCCAGGTGAGATCACTTTATGAACTTTTAAAAGAAAAAAAAACTGGCTCTAATTATTCATAAAGTATTTCTTCTAAGCATCTGGGAGGCAGGGCAGGGGGCCTTACCCAAAAAGGCCACATTTCTGGAGTTCTCCAGCATGACTTCTCTGTGCAGGTCTTTCTGAACAGGATCTAGCCGAGACCATTCCTCCTCAGAGAAACACACAGCCACTTCCTCTAAAGAGACAAGAATCTGCAAACAGGCATATCCCTATGAGCAACCAAATTTTATTTGCAAATTCACTCCATTTGATTTGAGAATCCCAAAGCAAAAAAGATTTAGAGTGGGTTAAATAGACACCTTCGGCAGGGGTAAAAATTTGATGTGAAAAAGCTGTCAAGAGTTCACTGCGTTTGACTGAAGTAACATTGGTGGATGAAGTAGATTATCTGAGGAGTATTTAGATCTGTTTCAGTCAAGCTTCAGTTTGTAATCATCCAGATCTGGAGATATTTACAGATAGGCCTTGACTTACAACCTAAGTTACAATCTACCTGAAAAAGGGGACGCACAATTAATGTTCCGATATGCCCCTCCCACCACATGGTCACATAACCATATTTCGGGCCCACAGCAACATGACTGCATTTATTGCCATTTGTAGCATCCAGCAGTCATATAACCATGGCTTATGATAGTTTTACCAAAAACCAGCACTTATTTCAGTTTTCGACAAAACCATTCCCATAACAAACAATGGGTTCACACTTATGACCATTGCAATTCACTTAAAAACCAGGCATCAGTTCTCATAGATGCAGTTATTAGCTTACCGTCTCCCCAAAGTGTCATAAATTCTCTTTTCAGTTTCTAGAATCCCCAAAGATTTACAATGAATTAAAAAGGCATACTCTGCAGGATGTCTATGGAGATTCTCAGTCATTCAGGTCATGGTTGTCCCAAAGGTGCTTTTTTCAAAAGGCAGCTGGACTCTCCCCACCCCTCCCCCCCGGAAAATGTTTCGCTTCTCATCCAAGAAGTTGGGTGAAGAACTGAGCTGAAGAAGCTTCTTGGCTGAGAAGCAAAATGTCTTCAAGGGGGGAAAAAATCCAGTCGCCTTTTGAAAAACCATCATTGGGACATGCGCTGCAGGATTAAAAACCTGATGTAAAAAAATTCCAGGGTTGGCAGCATTTGACCGATGTGGTAACATTTGTGGACGAAGCATATTGTCTCAGGAAACAATGTCTAAATCTGTTTAGATCCGCAGCCACTCAGATCTGGAGATATTTCACCTCTGATCTTGGATAGGGTGGCACATCTCCTTTCAAGGTTGGGTACAACCTGAGTGACTTCTCAATGACCAGAAATGACTTTGTAGAAACTTCAACTCATGTGCCATTTGTATCCTTTCCTAGATTGGGAAGCCCTTCAGTCATTTGTGAACTTAGGGCTGCTCTTTAAAACCATTTTGAAGTTTTAACTGGTTTAAAATGCAGAACTGGATCCTGGTACTGCTTTATCTGATCTTGGGTGGTGGTGGTAATAAATTGAAGAATTATTGTGACCTATAAAGCACTATATAGCAAAGGTCCCAGATATTTAAAGGAACACCTATTCCCTTTTGTATCAGCCCAAGTGGTTCAATGTAACAAAAGGTTGCAAGCTATAGATAAATAGTATCATTTATTGGTCTCTCAGAAACATTGGTTGAAAATGACCACTGAATCAAATAAACCATGCTTGAATAACTTTTATGGCCCTTCTGTGAATTAATCAAAGTATCTTTCTAGATTAATTCACAGATAGGCTTATCACTAATTCGTGTCTTGCCTGCCAGTTGCAGAAGCATGCATAGCTGGGATCTTCTCTAATATGTTAGAGAATACACATGCAAATACAGTTTCCCAAGAGTGTGCAGAGACCTCATTAAAAGATAAGATTTATTAAGGCCATTCAGTATTTGGATGACACTCAATCCAATTTTGGCTTGTCAGATCCAAAACTGTTTTGAGAGGAGAGTTGAGCTAAGCATTACTGAAGCTGAACCCTCATTTTATATTGCTACAAACAATATACAGTAATATATATTGAGCCCATCAAAAGAGACTGTATATACAGATAGTCCTTCACTTACAACAGTTCATTAATGACTGGTCAAAGTTACAATGACACTGAAAAAACCTGATTTATGACCCTCTATTACACTTATGATTGCTGCAGAACTCCCGTAGTCACATGATCAAAATTCAGATGTTTGGCAATGGATTCAGATTTTTGACGATTGCAGCTTCCCAGGGTCATGTGATCAGTCATCAGTTTTTGCGACTTTCCGACAAACAAACTCAATGGGGAATGCAGGTTCATTTAACAACCATGTTACTAACTTAACAAATCTAACAATTCACTTAACAACTGTGGCAAAAATGTCATAAAATGGTGCCAACTCACTTAACAAATATTTTACTTAGCAACATAAATTTTGGGCTCAATTGTGGCCATAAGTTGAGGACTACCTGTAATCTATCTTCCCTGACATTTTTCCTCCTACTTCTAGATGAAATGGACAGCACACAAATCCAGTAAATAAAAATAAAATAAATAATACCTGAGTTGGAGGTTCAACTGTTTTTTCAACTCCATCAGAAAAAGGAGAAGAACCTATGAATGCGGACTTTCCATTCTCTGTGAGTAGAAGTGACACAAGCAGAATTTTAACAAACATCATTACTAACATAGGGATGCAAAGGATATCCAAAAATAATGAGACACAACAGCTTTCTCCCTAAGGAACCTTCTCTTACCACAGGAAGTGTCTTGACTTTGATCTTCATGGAAGATTGCACTGAAGACCAGCTCCTGGGAAAGATCTGGAATATCCCTCTTTCCCTCGGGGTTCACAGAGATGGACTTCAAGTCAGGCCTCAGGAAATGAAGGGCCTGGAGAAGCAAAGAAATGCAAGTAGGAGAATTTACAGGAAAAATATAAAAGCAGATTGTCAGTGTCTCCTCAATGGAACAATTTGCCTTATACATCTTTCCTTAGCATCTTCAAAACATTATTATGGAAAAATATAAGAATCCCAACATATGGTTATTTTTTCACGTCCCACTGAAGATTTCTCACCTGACCTTCTGCCTTTTCCTTCTTTTCCTCCATCTGGCTTAGGAGGAAAGCTTCAGCCAAGGCCACCGCCTGGGAACTGGTCTCTGCTTCACACTCGCGCACCCAGCTCTCCATCTCTGAAGGCAGGATAGCCAGGAATTGCTCCAGGATCACCAGGTCCAGCATCTGTCCCTTTGTGTTCTTTTCGGGTTGAAGCCACTGTCGGCAAAGCTGGTGGAGATGGCTGCACATCTCCCGGGGGCCCTGGTCCCACAAGCCGGATGGCAGCACACCCATCTTCCTGCTGGTCATTTCCCGGAGAGCAGTCTGAAGGTCTTCCGCTTTCCTCCCTGGAGCATCCTTCAAAGAGGGTGCGCCCATCTCCACCTGCAGTTCATGGTGGTGAGACTTGAAGTCAGCAAGCATAATCTTTCCTGGTGCAAGATGACCCTGTTGGGGATCTTTTGGGGAGCTCTCTGCAGGGAACTCTTGGGAGAACCTGTGCCCCAGTCCTGACCCCTCTAAGGAGACTTCTGGCAAGGTTCCATTTGGAGCTTTCTCCTCCAGCGGACCTGCCCAAACAGCTCTCTCCAGATCAGCGTCCTGGCAATTCCTCTCCCTGCGCACTAGGTGCAGCGTCTTCTCCAGCAGCGGGCGCAGCTCCTGCAGGGGCAGCTCGGCCCCTCGCTCGGCCCAGCCTTCCTCCTGCAGGGCTTGGATCAGAGCCAGCAGCCGCTTCGGCCGGGCGCGCCCATCTTCCCGCAGTAGCGCTCGGACAGCCTCTCCCGGCCGCTTTTCCAGCAGCGCCTCCAGGGCAAGCTGCATAGCGAGCGCGGCGTTCCCGGACAGACCCGGTCCCTCCTTTGCCTCCAGCTCCGCCGCCAGTCCCAGCAGAGCCGCCCGCAGCGCCACCACGCCGGGCTTCCTCCCGCGCCTCCGTCCAGTGGTAGCAGGGGCCGGACCCGCGGCCTCGGCCATTGCTTGGATGCCGCGCAAGAGAGCCATCTCCAGCCGCAACAGCCCCTGCAGCCGCTCTTGCTCAGCCTCCGACAACGCCGCGTTCCGGGCAAGAAGAGTCTCCCGGCCGCGCCGGGCTTGGCTCAGCTGCCCGCAGAAGCGCTCCAGGTCCGGCGGCTCATCCAGCTTCACCGCCCAGCGCCAGCGGGCCTGGACCGGCTCGGGGACCCGCGCCGCCAGGAGCTCCTCCGCTTCGGCCAGCCCGCCGGCCAGCGGCTCCCGG